ACCAGTGCAAAAACAGACATGTAGATCCATAGAACAAAATAGAACACCCAAACATGAGTGCCTGTAATCGCAGCCATCTGATATTTAACACATATTCCTAAAATACACACTAGAGGAAAGACAGCATGTTTAATTAATGGTCCTAGGAAAACTGGATATCCCAATTTTTGAAACAAAATATACTTGTAACACTCGGAAAAAAAGTGAATCCAAGTGTATGTGCCAGACATGTTTATGTCTTAGTCCAGAAAACACAAGATGAAGACAAGACACAATATAAAACAGCATGAATTTAAAAGTTGGACATGAGACATGGAGCCAGCACAGGGCTGGAAATTGCATACCACAGAGTTCTGCAAATTGCTACGGACTGGACCAAAGATTTGCTTCTGAGGTTTCCAGCTTCATAAATGAGAAACATGATCAGTTATACAGCTCAGTGGCCATGGTCTGAGGATCCAAGACTGTCTTATCACCAGGCCTGGCATGTAGAAGACACGCAAAACATGATTGTTCAGTGAGTGACTCATGCCAGGGCAAGGACACCTGTTGTCTTGGATCCTGGATCCGCAATACTAGTTTCTTTGGCAGTGGACATTGCTTAGCTAGTGGACAGTAGTGAGCAGGGTGCTGGACGCATCCTTACAGTGGTGGCTTCGGAGTTGCATACAGCTTTTCCTTGTCCTTGCCCTCCACAGGAACTAAGAGCAGCTCACCAAGGTGTGTCTCAATGGGTCCACAATGGGTACTCGGTAGAACCTGTAGTAAACCTAGATCATATTTACAATGAAACGAAATGATTTTCCTTTTTGAATATGAGATCATAGTAACAAAGTAATATACCATGCTTCTTTTGAAACAAAAATCTTAAGATTTAAAAGCTAACATTAGCCAGGTGGTGATGGCACACACCTTTAATCCCAGCACTCGGGAGGCAGAGGCACAAGCAGATGGATCTCTGTGAGTTCGAAGTCAGACTGGTCTACAGAGTGAGTTCTAGGACAGCCAGGACTACACAATGAAACCCTGTCTCAAAAAACCAATAATAATAATAATAATAATAATAATAATAATAATAATAATAATAATAAATAAAAATAAAAGCTAACATTTTTCTTTCTCTGCTGAACTACTAGCTACTGATATGATCTAGGGGAGGGCCAGTCATTATTGTCTTTAGTTATGTACTCACTGAAGATTCAAACAGGCTGCAGCAGGTGCTTCCAGATTCATGGTCACACAAACTCAGTGGGTCTCAGAAACAAAAGTCATGAATGTAGGAAGGAGTCCAGTAGGGAGGAGGGGTAAGAGAAGTGGGAGAGAAATCGGAGGGATTTATAATAGTCAGAATGCACATTATTCATATATGGAATGACCAAATAACAAAATCCAAAGCCCTTTTAAAAGTTTTGCCAAGTGTGCTGGTGCATGCCTGTAATTCCAGCACCTAAGAGGATGGCAGCCTGGGCTACTCTGAGTTTGAGGCACCCTGGACTACAAAGTGAGACCCGGTTTCAGAAAATAAAACCCAAGAACAACAAAATTCCCCAGCATCTCTCTTGATCCGTGTTCCCCTGTACTCAGGGATGGGAGGGATGTTTATACTCTGACTTTCTGATACATACCTCAGCTTCTTGGCGTCTGGTCTGTAAGTGTTACCCAGTTGGTTCTGGAGCTAGTGTTGGAAGATGAAAAGGGGACCAGCTGGAGTCTGCTCTAAAAGTGAAGGGGCATGCGTTTTGAAACCTTGGTAGCTCATGAACTCAGTAGCTTTTGGAAGAAAAGTCCTTCCTGGGAGAAATCATCACAGATGTCTGACTGTTAGCATCCATCCTATCTGCCTTCCAGACTCCTGCATTTGCTGTGACGGGACAGTGTGAAGGACCCCATGACCTGTCTGCAATCAGGGCAGTGTGTGGCATGCTCCATGTAAGCTGTCCTTTTTGTTGTTATTTTGTTTTTTTTGAGATGTAGCTCTGGCTGCCTGGTTCACTATGTGACCAGGCTAGTCTTGAACTCAGAGAGATCTCCCTGCCTCTGCCTCCTGAGTGCTGGGACTAAAGACATTCCTCTTTAATCTTAATTACTTATCTGCCCAGTGCCGTGCTGCTTTCTAGACAAGGAAGCCGTGGGTGTCAGGAGTCACAATAGACAGCAAGTAATAAGCTGAGTTGAAATCTGGCAGAGCAGACTCCAAACCTTTACCCCTGCCACATGACCGCCTTTCTAATAAGAAGAGTTGGCTTGCTAAGAAAGAATCGAAATGTGAGCTCCGGTGACTAGATTCTCACCCTTTTGAGAGGACTAACACAATTGCATTTTCCAGCCTAAAAGGCAAAGAAGTTGAGCGTGACTTGGGTGACCCTCTGGAGCCCATCTTCACTCTGGATCACATTGGTTTTTGTCTTTAACACTTCTTCATTCAATGTCTTAGCAGTATTTTGAGTTTTTCCAAAAATGAATCCTTAGTAATTTCTTACTAACTGATCTCTCCTTAGATGTGCCTCAGGTGTTTTGAAAACTTCTGTACCTATGAACTGAATACTGGTTGCTTCCTGTGTTCCCCTGTGGGATCTCCCATAAGCCTGTGAACCCATTTTCTTCCAGCCAAAACCATCTTGCCCACTAAACCAGCAGCTACCTCCTGCGTGTGCTTTTTCATTAGTTGCCAAGGAAGAGTCAAGTTAAACATCCGTTGGTGTCAGCTGAAGACCTACATGCCAACCCCTAGGCCCTCTCCACACACACTGAACAGATCGCTCTGTGTTCTGGCCCTTTACTCCTCAACGCAAGCACCATCCCCCCCAGTTTCTCTGAACAATCGCCACCCGGCTCTGTGTAGCTACTCTATTTCTAGCTCTGGACCTCCAGAGCCAGCCTGCTTTGTGCTGCTGCCCAAGACTCATCTAAAATGCGCCTGGAGTATCCCAATCTTAATGGAAAACCTTTCTCTGCATATAGACTTGCCTCCAAGAAACAATTCAATGCCACTAACCAGACAGCTCCATCCTAGACACTGCCTGTTGCAAGGTCTCTCCAGCCACACCAGCACGTTCATAAAAAGCTCATGGAAATCACGCAAGTTTTCAATTCGATCTTTGCTCCAGTTAGTCTGTCTACCTTAGGTGTTCCGCCTTTGGCTTGGCAAGTTCTTACTCATCATTTTAAAAGTTACATGAAACGACTAGAGAAAAAGATTGACAGCAAATTCTAAAATAGCAAATGCACAGTTAGCAGAGCTAATGGAGAGAGGACCTAAAGAAAGGATGTGCTTTCAAGGATGCATTAACCCGTTAGCTAATAGCCAGACTTTATTATTGTGAGTGAGTGAGTGAGTGTGTGTGTGTGTGTGTGTGTGTGTGTGTGTGTGTGTGTATGAATGCATGTTCATGTGTGTGCAGGTGCACATGTGTGTGCATGCCAAAGGACAACCTCCACCTTGGTATTTGATGAGGTCTCTCACTGGCACTGAACTCAATCATAAGGCTAGGTTGGTTGGTTGGTGAGGCTGGAGCATCACCTGGGAGAGTGTCCACCTCCCCAGTGCTATGATTACAAGTGTGCACCACCACATCTGTCTATATGTACATGGGTTCTGGGGACCAAACTCAGGTCCACATGATTATGGCTCACTGACTGGGCCATCTCCCTAACCCCAGTATCCAGAATGTTTAAGAAACTGTTAAAAATCACTAGGCAGGGGCTGGGGGGTTGGTCCAGCAGTTAATAACCCCCCTCCCCGCTCTTCCAGAGAACCTATGTTTGGTTCTTAGCACCCACTTTGAGACAACCGCCTGTAAGTCCAATCCCAGGGGATCGAACAACTTTTTCTGGCCTCTCAGGCACCCAGACACACATGGCATTAACACATACAATTACACATGAATGAAAGTAATGAATCTTTTAAAAAAATTGTCAGACAACAAAACACAAAAGTAGAGAATATCAATGGAGAGTTCACATGGGTAGGAAGGCAAATGCTTGATACGCTTTAAAATGTTCAACTATTCTTCACTGATGATAAGAAAATACTAATTGAAGTGAGATCGCTCCCCCTTTTCTGCATATTGCTTTGTCAAGCATTTAACATACTGATAAAATCCAACGCTGCTTAAATTGAGAAGATGGTTACACACTGATTCTGGCAAGCAATCTGGCAACAAGTCAATATGGTGAGTTCCCCTGTGACCCAGCTGTTCCCAAGTATTCTCAGAATGTCCAGGAAGAAATACCAGGATATATATACATATATACATATATATGTATATATATCATATCAGTGTTTGGTAAAACCTAAATACCTGTCTACAGAGAAAGATTTATTGGGATATAGCTCGGTGGTAAAGCACTTTCTTGGTATATATGAGACTCTAAGTTCAGTTCCCAGTATAGGGAAGAAGAGGAGGAAGAGGAGGAGAAAAGGGGAGGTAGAAAGATCCTGTTATACCACAGTCATTTAAGAGTATCTGTGATGACAGCTCATCTATAAACTGCTTCCCATGAGAATCTGAAATTGGCCTCCAGGGACCATGTGGACTCCTCCTAGGCTGTGTGAGGTGTCCATATGAGAGGACATTGGACCTCCCTAGAAGTGATAAAGAGCAATCCCAGATTGAAGCCTCTGGAGTGACATACTTATTCCTGCCGCGTTCTGTTGGTCACCAAGACCAACCACAGTCTAGTGAAGAAGTCAACAGGGATGTGAAGAAGGAAACAGGACTCCTTGGAGAATGGAACTACCTTGAAAGTTGTTTATGACAAAGTGCTTTTAAAAATAACAAACCGTATGTGCAAGTGAATGATCTCCCAATGTTACTTTTTAAAGAAGAGTTTGTCTATAACTACATGAACAAAAGATTGCAGGGCAGCCAGCCGTGAGCAGTGGTAGGGTGGAGGATGGCAGACGCCGAGGACAGCATTCTCTTGTTATTTATAGCTTGTTTTCTTTATATGGACTACAATGAATGAGCATGTGCCACATTTACAATTAAAAATGATAAAGTAAATTTGTTTAGAACCATACTTATTTCTCCCGAAAGTCATCTCTGCTCCCTGTCAAGCTGATGTAATTGCCTTCCTGGGTCTCTGTCTCTTGCTGAAGCAAGACTTCCCTGCTGCATTATCTTCCTGGTGCTGCTCCTCCCCAAGGACCAGCTGAGTGCTCATCCTTGAATTCTCCGACTAACAGACTACCCAGCACGGAATAGTTGCCCAATATGTTTGTTGAATGAATGAACTAAAAGATTGATTTTATGCCACTAATATTTATTGAGTAGCTCCAAAGATAAAGAGCTGTGTCTAGACCTGTGGTAACTTGATGCCAATTGGTCAAATGGCTTTGTGACCTCAGATCCAAATTCTGGTTCAACTGGTCTCAATATGCTATGGTATTTATCATTTTCTTGATTTTTCTTGAGGAACTTATCTAGTAACTACTTTTGTTGGAGATGGGGTTAATTTGTTAGGTCCTACTAGAAAACTACATATAACACAGCAGAGAAAATCTGCTGCTTCATACCCTGTAGATCAGAAATATTAAGCTAAGCAGTCTTGCCTAAATGAGAAGGGTAAGGTAGCTGAGTCAGCCCCCAATCCTCCACCTAATGTTAGTATCACAAATGGAAGCAATTATAATGAATCACAAATGAATCATTCCAAAACTAGGTCTGTATAACCATTTCCTTATAATATTCGCTTATAATAGGATGTCTTGCAGCAGCGGCCCTGTAATTGGAGTGATAAGGAGAAAAATCTATCGAAAATCTTTAAAAAAGAAAGAAAGAAAGAAAAAGTTCACACTCCGTCTTGATCTCTGTTCTCTGCATATTTTGAATATACCTTTAAACCATACACATAATTTGTACTACCGCTTCAGCCTTTGTTATTTCTTAAACCCTTGAAAACCAGAGTCTCTTAAATAGCTAATAGTGTGTAACCACAGCTTACAGTAATAAAACCCGAAGAGTTCCCAGGGGAGCCGGAAGCTTCAGCACAACCCCACCGGGACTTATTCCTGCAAAGTCAGCTCCGTGGGGCCCAGACTTTCCTGAGTGCACACCTGCCAGGGCCAGGCAGGTGGCTGTACTAGGCGCTGGGCACAAGCTAGCCTGAGCCTGAGGACTGGCTGAGATGAAGGCGCTCTCACCACAAAGCGCCCACGACACAAAAGCTGGCCCAAAGGAGGAACTGCAGTGAGCCGGGAATTCCTGCTCCAATGGTCTTTTTTTCTTTCCCTTGGATGAGCTAACAATCAGTTTCTACATCTGTACTCTACTATCGGGTTCAGCATAGAAGTGAGAAAAAAAGATATTAAATTTTGAGGAAATGTATATCCCATGTGTCCAGGCAAGGAGGTGTGGTGTTTAAAAGTTACGAGTTTGAAATCCCGGTAGCCAAGAGATGAGTCCCCGGGTGACTGAAAGGGCCGCAATGATCTCAAACTCTCCACTTCTCACCCACAGCCTGGCCTTGGCTATAAATTTCAAACAGCATAAGAACTACTGTGGCTGGCGCTTAGAGAAGCCGAACTAGCGGCTCTGTTCCTGCCGAGTTCGCTGCGGGTCAGAGCATAACTTCCCCGCAAGTGAATTCAGATCAAAGCCTCACTGGTTTGGGGGGTAGGGGGTGTCACAAAAAGAAAAGTAGATTTCCCAGGGAGGAGCGCACGCACCTTTCACAAGTACTGCGGGGCATAGGTGTACTCTCTGGCCAGGGAAAGTGGTACCCACAGCATCCTATTCCCCAAAGCTGCCCATGACTGTCTAGCAGGCTGCAACCGGTTTCCTGGGATCCAAAAACCGTTTTTACCGAGCCTCCCGACAGGGTGGAGTGTCTGACGTTCATCGTTGCTGAGCCCACCTATTTTCTCCTCTTTATCACGCATCTAGCGCTGCCCCTCTCTCTCTGGGGCTGCTTCCCTTCCAAGCTCCTCCACTACTAGTCCTGTCTGCTGGGTTTATGCTGTTTGGCCTATTTTATCTCTTTGCCTAAATTAAATGTGTCCCTCCACGATCTTCTTCCCAGACGCCATTCTCCTCCATGAGGAAGCTCCCGCAGGGGTCATGCACGATCCCAGGATCTTTCCTGGGAGGAAAGCAGACTCCGAGCTCATCGCCTGGCACCAGAAAAAGGTCAGCCTTCGGGCTACAAAGCCTTCCCAGGCGGCAGCGGGTTCTTTCAAGGCACTGGGATGTTGAGTGTCAGGGGCCCCGCCACCCTCCAGCACCGACGTGTCTGTTTCCCGTGCAGCGCTGGGAGAGACCGTGGGTGGAAAATCCGCTGCAACTCGCGGGCCACCGGGCTGGGGGCGCCGTCACTTGTTGCGACCAATGAACGGTGTGCAATGCTGGAGCGTTGTTGTTTCTAATATCGTCTTGAGCCGTGCAGGGGATCCCCCCCGCAGCCCGCACCCCACTGCTCTGCCGCTGTGGGAGGGGAGAAGGAGCCGCACCCCGACAGCCGACCCAGGTGGGCGCTGATGCCCGAGGGGCGCAGATTCATCCCGCCCCGGGGCATCCGCCCCAGTGGTCCAGCCGCCAGCCCCGCACTCCGCCGAGCATCCTGCTTGACCCGGGAACAGCGCGGGACCCAGCTCATCGCGGCTGCTCACCTACTTCCAAGTCGCGGTCGCTAGGATTCCCGCCACTCCTCTCAGACCCATCCTCCCCACCCTTGCCACTTTTCGGAGTCCCCCGCCCCCGCCTCCCGGGGGGAGCTGCGGGGCAGTTGCACGCGGAGCCGCGGAGCTGCGAGGACGCCCGGCAGGAGCTGCCCTCGGTAGCCGAGCCCGCACTCCCTGCCCTTCGCTTCGCCCCGCCGCCGCCGCCGCCGCTGCCGCCGCCGAGCCCGAACCCCCGCCGCCCTCGCTCCGCGCCTCGCCGCTAACCCTCCCGCCGGTCCCGAGCTCCGCCACCGCGGAGTGCGTGCAGCGGGGCCGGCGCGATGCGGCAGCTGTGCCGGGGCCGCGTGCTGGGCATCTCGGTGGCGATCGCGCACGGAGTCTTCTCCGGCTCGCTCAACATCCTGCTCAAGTTCCTCATCAGCCGCTACCAGTTCTCCTTCCTGACCCTGGTGCAGTGCCTGACCAGCTCCACCGCGGCGCTGAGCCTGGAGCTGCTGCGGCGCCTGGGGCTCATCGCCGTGCCCCCCTTCGGCCTGAGCCTGGCTCGCTCCTTCGCGGGGGTCGCGGTGCTCTCCACGCTGCAGTCCAGCCTCACCCTCTGGTCGCTGCGCGGCCTCAGCCTGCCCATGTACGTAGTCTTCAAGCGCTGCCTGCCCCTAGTCACCATGCTCATCGGCGTGCTGGTGCTCAAGAACGGCGCGCCCTCGCCGGGGGTGCTGGCGGCCGTGCTCATCACCACCTGCGGCGCCGCCCTGGCAGGTGAGCGGGACCCGCGCCAACCCCGGGTCCACCCACCCCACCCACCCGGGAGAGATCGCGGGGACCACTCGGTGCAACGCCCTCAGTGCCAGATGGGGAGACTGAGGCAGAGTGAGGCAGGCAGCGAGCTTTTGAGTGGTCCTAGGGCTCACAAAAGGGACTTGGCTCCCGAGACCCAGCAGCAGCCTTCCTCAGCCTTCCAGCCTCCTCCATCAGCGCTCCCCACCCCCAGGTGCCCCGGCTTCCGCCCCCCGCCCCTTTTCTCAGCGCGTCGCCCCCACCCGGGTCTTTCTTGTTCAGCCCTTTTCCTGCGGGAGGGATGGAGAGTCGCCTGAGCCGAGAGCCCGAGTCCAGCCCCGGACTGAGCCGGAAGGAAGGGGGCCGGGAACTTCCTCGGATCACGCGGGGGTCGGGAAGCTAGAGAGATGGGAGGGAAGCCTGGGTGGCCCAGGCTCGTTTGGAGTACCCGGGCGCTAGGCAGAAGGGACCGGGCTGGGGTTCAGGGGCGGGAGGGGCGGGGAGGACCCTGCGGGATCCAGCTGCGGGCAGGGGGGCGGGGGGACTCTCTTCCCGGGGCTCGGCAGGCGCTCGGGTGAGGCCACTAGCTGGGGTTCCCACTCCCTGCCCACGGGGCGGGGTGGAGGAACCACCCACCCAGGTGACCTCCGTGCTGGTTCAGAGACGCCCAGGCGCCCACCCCCGAGAGCATCTGAGCTCTCGGGAGCCTTCCTCCCGGCCAAAGGAAGATGGGGTGCATTGACTGGGCTTGACTGTAGCATTCTGACACAGTAATGGATGGAGGCACGGAGGGCTTCTGTTGGGTACCCGGGAAATGTGTGGGCTTCAGAAGCGGGATGCGAAGTGTGTTTTTTTCCCAAAGCGACTTGCTACCTGGAGTGGATACCCACCCGCACCAACCCTGTGTCTCCTCTCTTTTTCTTTCCCGCGCTGGCTCGACCCGTCTTGCTGCACTCAGGAGCTGGCGACCTGACAGGCGACCCCATTGGGTACGTCACGGGCGTGCTGGCGGTGTTGGTGCACGCTGCCTACCTGGTGCTGATCCAGAAGGCGAGCGCAGACACGGAGCACGGGCCTCTCACCGCCCAGTATGTCATCGCGGTCTCCGCTACCCCTCTGCTGGTCATCTGCTCATTCGCCAGCACGGACTCGATCCACGCCTGGACCTACCCGGGCTGGAAGGACCCGACCATGGTTTCCATCTTCGTGGCCTGTATCCTGATCGGCTGTGCCATGAACTTCACCACACTGCATTGCACCTACATCAACTCGGCGGTGACCACCAGCTTCGTGGGCGTGGTGAAGAGCATAGCCACGATCACGGTGGGCATGGTGGCCTTCAGCGACGTGGAGCCCACCTCTCTGTTTATTGCCGGAGTCGTGGTGAACACCCTGGGCTCCATCATTTACTGCGTGGCCAAATTCGTGGAGACCAGAAGGCAGAGCAACTATGAGGATCTGGAGTCGCAGGCCGTGGGAGAGGAACCAGCGCCAAGTGGGGACCAGCTGCCGTTCGCTATGGAGGAGCTGCCCGCCGAGGGTGGAAGTAGCGGGTCAGAGGGTGCAGAAGGGGCGGGTGGCTCCCTACAGCAAGGTGGGCAAGAGGCAAGGGGCAGCCTCAGAGGGGTCTCAAGAATAGAAGAGCATTCTGATGAAGGCGGTAGGAGATCCTTCAAGGATGCCTACTTGGAGGTGTGGAGGTTAGTTAGGGGAACTAAGTACATGAAGAAGGATTATTTGATAGAAAACGAGGAGTTACCTAGTCCTTGAAAAAGACATGCGTGTATGTACATATGTACATACCGTTATTTTATATGGCAGAAATAAGGTCTAAGGAGGGGCCTCCAGTTTTCTTCTGAGGAGCAGGGAAAGGGAAGCAAACAAAAGCTGAAAGGGACCGACAGAGACGAATTAGCACCTATTTCTTATCTATTCATTACCTAGTGGGACTTTGCCTGGGGTGCCACAGAAGGAAGACACCCATGCAGGTGCTTAACACAATCAAAAGTGATTTCAGCTTCAGACTCCTGGACATGGGTTTTTTTTTTTTTGTCTTTATAATCATAACCAAATATTTGCATGTACCAAGAGTCCCTCAGCCACCCCTTCCAAAGATGGCTTGTAGCAATGATGACATCACTTAATAAATTCAAAGATCACATTCAGGGGCACATTTCTGATGACAGGACTATAGTTTTTATTGCCCGTGAGGCAAAGAGTATATTATTGAAATGACATTTATAAATACACTGAATTGTTTACTCTTCGGGTCATCTGCAATATCGTGTTTACTCGAATTTTTCTTCCTTCATTTTTTTTAAATGAGTATTCTATTATTCTATTCTATATTAATAGGAAATGTTGAAGCTATTTTGAAGATGTGTTCTTAGCTTTGATTATGAAGTCTAAGGTTTGCTCTTTGTAATTATATATCTTAAAGGCTGTTTGGGTCCCTTGCTTTATAATATTTATTATTGAATGCTGTAACCTTTTTAAAAGCCTGTTTTGCCTCCATGTAACCCTCTTTCAAGCAAATATAGTGGCTGGAACGTAAGTCAGTGTTGACTGAAGAACAGCCGAAGGGAGACAGGCCGCCTTGGAAAGCAACCCAATCACACTGCACACCCCCAAACTCTGTTACAAAAAAGAGCAACTGATATATTCGCATTATGATATTTTTCTATCTCATATTTGTCAAAAATAAAGTGTGAGTCTATCTGTAAAGGGGTGAATTGTCAGACTTTGTTTCAGACACGTTTGTGTTCTGCTGGGCAGTTTCCATGTGTGGAACACAGTGGCTGCTTGCAGGTACCAACCCTTTGGGGCGCTTTCTTCCGTCTGACCTTCTTCAACAGTGACATCTCACTTCTGACCCTCCTGCTTTTACCTTCCCAGGGTTGAGATTACCAGCACGCAATGCCCGGTCAATTGTGATGCTGTGAAGGGAGACCAGGGCTGCCTGTGTGCTCAGCAAGCTCTCTGCCAACTGAGCTACATTCCCAGCTGCCATGGGGAGCTTTTGCAATTACCCATGGCAGCTGGATTTAACATGATAAAAACAAATGACAACAAAGAGTTTCCGGTGAAGAAGACCATAAAGAAGTAAAATACCACCTCAGACTGAAGAAAGAAAGCCACCCACACTAGACAGCAGTATGAATGGAACTTGAGACAGAATAAATGGCAGCAGCCACCAATAGGGAATACAGGAGAGGGACCGTGACACCAACACTACTCTTGCCAGCCAGCATCTTCCTGAGAGGCTCAGATAGTGTCGTCTTACATTTTTCTGTCATTTACAGAAATCAAAACAACCTAAAAAAGCAGGAGCAGAAGTTAAGTTTTGGCCATTAGCAGGTCTCTGCAGTCTGGTAAGCAAATGGAATTGTGGCCGTGATTGCTCCTGCTTGCCTGCTTCTTCCAGGCAATACCAGCTGCTTCCAGGAGTGCCACAAAGGTCAGAAGTTAGAAGTGGATAAATAAGAAAAGTCAGAATTACAATGGCTTCTTAAAAGTTAAAATAAAAAGCACCAATTTTGACATCAGCATGCCAGAGGGCAATGTCCTGGTACACCAGTATAAAGCCAAGAATTAATTAAAAGCAACAAAGTTGAAGGAAGCCTGGGATTTCTTTTATACCATCAACGAATCCCACCTGGGATTTCATACCATCAAAAAATAATTGTTTTTTTACTGAACAAAAATCCCCTTTGGTCACAAGTGTGGGTTTGCACATATTGCAAAAAGATGAACCCTTTCTCCCCAACAAACTTGAAACATTCTTTTAGAGTTTATTAGAGAAGTAGGAGAGGTGGGGACATCAAGGATTCATGATTGTGGAGGTGGCAAGTCTGAAATCCATGGCAAACTCAGGCATGGCCCCTGTGCTGATGTCCTGAGGCAGAATTCCTCCCAGAAATCTTAGTGTTGGCCCTAAGGCTCAAAACTAATAGGAGGAGGCCTATCCTTGTTAATGGAGGGTAATTTGGTTTACTCAAAGTTTACTTATTAGTTCTAAATGTTAATTACATATTTAAGATGCCTCCATATCGGCACTTGGATGGCTATTTAATCAGATTGGTCTGACACTACAATCTATAGCCCAGTTGGAGGCGATTATGGTCATAGGATAAGAAAAACCCAGAAAGACGTATCAGGAAAGTTCTGTCACGCTATTTAGACAAAACTTGGGCGTCTCTACTTAAGGTCTCTCAGGCCAAGAGCAGACAGAACACAAGAGAAGACAGGTACCATAAGCAGATGGGTGGAAGCTAGGGAAGGCTCAAAAAGAAATGCTAAAATTTGAAAGCAAAAGCACCCAGCAAGACAGCAATGAAGAATTCCCGGGAGGAAGGACATCACAGGGGCACAAGTTAGTGGTGGGACTCCTTCCCTGGTCACTAGCCGCTGGCAGGCCAGATCCTTCCACTGTCTTTAGCTCTCAAGACCACAGAAGGAGCCTGCCTCACATGCCCTGTGACTTCACAGTAACTCGTCTCCGTAACACAACAAGGTGTCAGAGCGTTATCCTTGTGCTGGCCTCCTGAATGCTATCCAGCTCTCGGCTAATGCTTGAGGCAGAGGTTAATCAGAAACAGTGGGGAAAGGACTGGCAGAGCTGTGCAGATGAGAAGGTGGGGTGCTTATCACTGCAGAGAGCTAAGTCCAGCTGACCAGTGACCTAAACTCCAGTAAGACCAGTCAGTTTACAGAGCAGTCGCCCCTTGTCACAGGGCCTGACTCTCTAGGTCATTGATAGCAATGCTCAGAAACAACAAAACAAAACAAAACAAAACAAAAAAAACAACCACAGGTGAAATTCACAAATCCTAATCTAATTGGCAGGAGGGTTTTCTTTTTGCATAGTTTTGGGGTTTATTTACTTATTTGGAAAAGGATAATGAATTAATTTTGAGGTTATTTATTTTTATTTTTCTGAGATAGGCTTTTATATAGACCAGGCTGGCCTCACGTTCTTATGAGGCTGAGACTGGCCTTAAACTTCCCACCTTCCTGTCTCTGCTTTCAAATGCCAGGATTACAGGCATCACACCCAGCTCTCAGCTTAGGAATTATTTTCATGGACTCATCTGTAAGTTCACTGACTCTTTCCTTAGCTGAGTTTAGTCCACTGATGAGCCAGCCAGTCAGAGAAATTCTTTACTTTTTGTTGTTGTTGTTGTTGTTATGTGTTTTGGTTATCAACATCTAGCATTTCCTTTCGATCCGTCCTCAGTTTTCTCCATTGCGCTGCTCATTCTCCATGCTCAGAATCTGTTCTGGCGTGCTGTCTGCATTTTGCCTGAGAGACCTCAACGTGGTTGTTCATCATTCCCTCTCAGATCATTCTAAAGCCTGCGTTGTTCACATCCGAATCCAATGCAGAGGCTTGCTTCGTCTCTTTAGACCTGCTTGGTCTTCTTGCCATTCGGCACACCTGTTACCATGACTTTCCCTGAGGAGACATGAACAGATGCTATTCATCTCAGAAAGGGTACCAACCACAGGCCTAAGAAATGACTCCACCCAAGTCGAGTTTAGGGAAGTAATGAGTTTTGGAGGATTTCTTACACGGAGCAGGAGCAGGAGTGAGGGGTTATGGGAGCAGGAATGACTCAAAGACAGTGGCGTCACCCAAGGCCCACCTAGCACGAGCGATGACTCACAAAAGCCGCAACCTTGAGCTCTCTGCTTAACTTGTATCCTGCGCTCTCAAGAGTCTCCTCTCCTCCAGGTATTATTTATTTCTTACATAAGCTCAAGGAGGGGCCTCGTGACTCTTATAACCTCCTTGTGAATTTTAATTCGGAAGGCTCCTCACTATCTTTTTGGCGGGGGGAGATGTTTCACTTTGGAGGAAACAGCTCCACACCAGTACTTAATGATTTTCTTATTGTGGAAAGCCAGATGATCGATAATGCTGGAGGACAGGAGCCGAGGCAAAGAGGCCTCTAAATGAGAGGTGTCGTGTTCATAGGGCTAGAAATTGGGCTTTGTACTGTCTGCAGCAACCATAATGCTAGACTTCAATCTCCTCTGCTGTACTTGTTCTCTTTCTCTGATGTCTTCAGCTCCTTCTGCTGCAGTCCAGACATTATAATGGATCCCTGCTGGTGTGGTTATACGGTGTGGGGGTAAGAGAGATGCTCTACAATAGTGTGTAGGGACCACTTCGGGGGTAAATATCATTTTTCTCTTGTCTTAGTTAACTTTGACAACTTGGCACAGCCAACAGTCATCTGAGAGGAAAAGCCTCAAATAAGGAATTGCCTAGATCAGATTGGTCTTTGGGCATATATGTAAGGGATTGTCTTGACTATTAATTGTAGGAAGGATCAGCCCACTGTGGGTGACACCATTCCTTAAGCAGGTAGTCCCAGGATCCATAATGAATCTATAACACATGAGCCAGCAGTAAGCATACCTCTATGGCTCTTACCTTTAGGTTCTTGCCTTTCAGTTCCTGTCTTGAATTCCTTCAATGATAGACTTTGACCTGGAAATGTAATATGAAATAAACCCTTTCCCCTCCAAAGTTGCTTTTGGCAAGAGCATTTTATCCCAGCAATAGAAGAGAATATAAGACATTTTTCTATAAATGTTTATAATTTCTTTGTGTTGAGAAGTTGCCAACTCTTCTCATCTAGTTGTTTATACAACATATAAAGTGTTGTGAACCATGGTCACCCTGGACTGATGATTCTTAGGATCCTCTATTTAACTGTATTGTGCTTTGTGATAAGTCCCCCACCCTTCTTTCTAGGTTCTAACTCATAACTGTCCAATACTAGTTCTGTGAAGCCAACATTTTTAGCTTGCACATTTGAGTGAGAGCATGTGGTAGTTGTCTTTCTGGGCTTGACTTATTTAACTTTGTATTCTCCATTTCCATCCACGGTGCTCCAAGTAAAGGAATTTATTTTTTTAATTACTGAATAGTATTATATTATATAAATGTCATTTTATTCATTATTCACCCATCATCCACAGATGCATGCGTTCATGTATCCATCCATCCATCCATCCATCCATCCATCCATCCATCCATCCATCTATCCATCTACCCTGTGGGAGCTCGTTTTCAGGTTCCTTGTGGCTTTACCCAGCAGGTCCGCATAGAGAGGATGATTAGGACCACAGGCCTGAGTGCAGGTGTCTGAGATGGTCTGCACTTGGCTGTGCTTGGGGGAGGTCTTTTGCTCCACCCCTTGGCATCTCTATAAATACCCTGAGGCAGAGACAGTCAAGGCGTGTTGGAATAGGTTCCAGCCCCTCTCAAGGCTATCCTTTATTTTCTATCTGTTTATCTCCACAATCTAAATCTTTCTATCTAATATTTCCTGCTGCTCGCACTCAAGAAAACTCTGGGGAGCTATGGGGTTGGTGGGTAAATGCCCCGCACTACCCATCTTCAATCTATCAATCCTTTCTTCATCCATCCAAACCTTAGATGATTCTCTATCTTGGCTGTGCATTCTGTTTTTTTTTTTTTTGTTTTGTTTTTTTGAGACAGGAGACAGGGTTTCTCTGTGTAGCTTTGGCACCTTTCCTGTAGCCCAGGCTGGCCTTGAACTCAACAGAGATCTGCCTGCCTCTGCCTCCCATGTGTTGGGATTAAAGGCATGTGCCACCACCACCCAGCTGGCTATGCATTTTAATAAGTCCCAGTCTTAGTGGACCTATGATCTTAGGCATTCCCCTCTTTGTAAATGTTTCTTAGCTTC